CCCACCAGCAATGTAGGAGAGTTCCTTTTTCACCACCTCCAGCCAATATTTATTGTTAGTTTTTATGATATATGCCATTCTTACTGGTGTAAGGTGGTATCTCATTGTAGTTTTGATTTGCATTTCCCTGATTATAAAGGATGTAAAACATTTATTCATATACCTGTAGGCCATTTGTATTTCCTTTTTTGAGAAGTGTCTTTTGAGTTCTTCTGACTGGATTGTTTGCTTTGTTTTTGTTGAGATGTGTGAGTTTCTTGAATATCTTTGTGAACAGTCCCTTATCTGTTGTATGGAGTGCAAGGAATTTTTTTTTTCCCCAGTCAGTAGAGTGTCTTTTTGTCTTTGTTAATGTCTCTTTTGTTGTGCAGAAGCTTTTCAGTTTGATGTAGTCCCATGTGTTTATCTTTTCCTTCATTTTCTTTGTTTTGGGTGATGAGTCTTTAAAGATGTTACTGAGATGTATGTCTTGTAGCATTTTACCTATATTTTCTTCTATATATTTTATGGTTTCAGTTCTTATGCCCAAATCTTTTATCCATTCTGAGTTGATTTTTGGACATGGTGTGAGGTAGTGTCTAGATTCATTGTTGCTTATGTTGTTCCAGTTTTCCTAGCACTATTTATTTAACAAACTGCCCTTGTTTTATTGCATATTCCTTGCTCCTTTGTCAAAGATTAATTGCCCATACATGTGAGAGTTTATTTCTGGGCTTTCTTTTTGGCTCCATTGCCCTGTGTATCTGCATTGTTCCAGTACCACACTGTTTTAATCATTATGGGTTTGTAGTATAGTTTGAAATTTGGAAGTGTGATGCCTCCATTCTCCTTTGTTTTAACCAGTAGAGCTTTACCCATTCTTGTTTTTTTGTGAGTCCATATGAATTTCATCAGAATTTTTTCTATTTCTTTGAAGAATATCATTGAGATTTTATTGGAAGAGCGTGAATCTATAAATTGATGTTAGTAGGATGGCCATCCTACTAACATTTAAATAATGTTAATTCTTCCAATCCATGAGCAGGGGATATTTTTTCATTTCTTTGTGTCTTTTTCTATTTCTTTTAATAGTGTTTTATAATTTTCTTTGTATAGGTTCTTCACCTCTTTTGTTAGGTTTATTTTCAAGTATTTGATTTTTTGTTTGTTTCAATTTTAAAAGGGATGATTTTCTTGATTTCTTCTTCAGATTGATTTGTATTGGAAGGCTACTGATTTTTGTGTGTTGATTTTGTTTCTGCTACTTTGCTAAACTGGTTGATTAGTTTAAGTAGTTCTTCTGTGGAACTTTTAGTGCTCTCTCTATATATTATCGATTCATCTGCAAATAGTGATGGTTTTTCTTCTTTTTTCCCTATTTAGATTTGTTGAATGATTTTCTCTTGTCTTGTTGCTCTGGCAAGGACTTCCAGCATTATATTAAAGAGCAGTGGTGAGAATGAACACCTTTGTCTTATTCCTGATCTTAAAGAAAAAGCCTTCAACTTTTCACTGTTGAGAAAATATTGGCTGTGGCTTTTGTCATATATGGCTTTTACCATGTTAAGGTATGTTCCTTCTATCCCAAGAATTTCAAGGGCCTTCATCATAAATTGATGTTGGATTTTGTCAAATAATTTCTCAGGATCTATTGATATGATCATATGTTTTTTAATTTTTCTTTTTGATGTGTTAGATGATGTTGATCAATTTTTTATGGTGAACTATCCTGCCCAAGATATTCTTAACAGATCTAGACATTACTGTATAGTGGAAGGAGAGAGGGGTTATGATTAGTTCCTGCTTCGGGATTTATTGACTCCTTGGGGGTCTTTGTGTAGGAAACTCTACTTTCTACAGATCATTATCTGGGTACTACTCTGTCCTCCTTATCATAAACATGATAGAGAATGACACAGGTGACCAGGAGCTTGATGAGATAATTTATACATGTAATTTGGCATCTGTAAGGACGTTTATGTCTATTATGTCAGCAAACCATCTCTGGACATACATTTTATCATGAAAACTGAAATCAGGGAAGTAGCAGGATTTGTCTAAAGACAAGAAACTCCTAAAAGCAGAATTGTCTAAATGCAGAATTGTCCTATAGCATGGACAGTTACTAGGGTTAGAAGATCATAAGAAAAGAAATAACACACAATCACACATATGTGTACACATGAACATATACATAGCAGCCAAAATGAGGGTTCCATATGCAGTAGGGGAAACTACAGAAATATTCTAGGATGGAAATTTCACATCAGCTAATCTTCAATGTCTGCACCTTCTCCTAACCTGATACACCCAGGATTACTCTTCAGGGATCCAGGAAACACAGTTAATAAACCTCTCCCCAGTGCTGTGTACAGCTCCAGAGACCAGCTCAGAAGCCTGTGCAACTGTTTAGGTCACAGGCCCAAAGAGAGAAGCTCAGGGACATGGCCCTAGGACTTGTGTGTGGCACCCAAGGTCACTCAACACCCCCTCCCCTTTGTCTCTGCCCACAGATTCATAATGAAGGGAAACAGAGGGATCTGTGCTTCAAAGGCAGATACATGGGTTAAGGATTATTTGGTAAGGGTGAAACCCTGCCTTTGAAGGAAACGAGCAAATTCCTTTCCGTCCTGGACCCTGGAGACCAAGGGACTTCGCCTGCACCTGAATCCCAAAAGTGACACCGATCCTTCTACCTACCTTTACTGGATCATGGAGGGATGCTGTTGCACCTTATATATTTAAACTCTAGAATCTTCATCTCCTACTTCCCTGTTTCTTGGACCACACAGGGATATTGGAGTACAAAATTAATTGGCACTGAGATACTGGAGGAAATGGAAAAGGGAGACCTATTGGATCTAGTCCCAGGGAATTGAGCCAATAAATGAGTCCTAACTCTCAGCCACCTGCTTTTGTCCTAGAGGGAAGCTTTGACTTGGGGTGCGATGTTGATACTCTGCTTTGGGCTTTGGTGGTATGGCAGCCACTGAGAAGCACCAGGCTGGGTAAAAGACCCTCCTTCTCCCAGCTCTGCCTGGGGGACTCTGGACTGATGTCACCCAAAGTCACTTGTGAAGTTCTAGCCCAAGAGCATCCATGGAGGGCATCTACCTGTAAGATATTGCTGACCCCATTTTACAGAGAAGGTGAATGGGTGCTGGAGGAAGAAACCACAGGCATTGGGAGTCTGTATCAGATTGACCACAGGACCCAGGGTGCTGCCTCCATAGCCAGAGCTCTTTGCTGTGCCTCAGGTTGCCAGGTGAGTGGCTGGCACAGCATGGGACCTCTCTTTAGCCCTCAGGTCATGCAAAATGTGTTAGCAGGAGCTTCTCTTTGAGTCTCCAGCAGGGATGAAGCCTGGGTCTGACAGAGATGCCAACACAGCTACCAGAGGAAGAGAGGCATCTATGTGAGAGCAGAACAACCCTCAGGGACCTATGGCAGGGGAGGCTCTGGCCCTTTGAAAGGGACAGTCCCAAGCTCTACTGTGTCATTTTGTGACTCTAGGGAGATTAGGAAGAGAGGAGAATAATTCTGGGTTTCAGTTAGCTCCCCTGTGTCAGGCTTTAAGGAAGAAGGTCTAGAGTCCTCTGTTCCAGGATTGCCCACTCCCTCCCCAGCATTCACTCTGTCACATACCTGGCCCTTCTTAAGCTGCATCTCCTGCAGCCACCTCCGCTTTCATGCCTCTCCATGCCCCTCTGCCAAGGCCAATGTAGTAGGCTGTTCTCAGTCCTTGCCAACTCCACCCTGCCCAGAGCCACAGGCTGCTCTCCCCAGCCATCCCTCCCTCCTGATGGCTCTAAAGCCGCAGCACCTTCTTCCTGTTCAGATCTGATTCCAAATTCCCCACCTCTACATTCCAATCCCACCATGCTCAACCCTCCCTTCTAAATACCCCAACTATGCCATCCCAGAAACCAGGCTGACCTCGTGGAGATGTGCTGTTCAGGCACCATCCCTCACCTTGTCTGGGAGACTCTTTCCTCTGACTGTGCTCCTCCATGCTCAAGATCAGTCCTGCCCAATTCCCTTCTTGGTCAAGTCTACTGCTAAGTCCAGCTTAGTCAACTAGTTTTCTCTGGGGATCAGGTGTATTTAATGTTTGAATTGTTCCAGTGGGGAGGATGGTGTGGAGTGGGGAGGCATGAGGTCAGGGAGACCAATGAGATACTGATGTTGGGGGTGGACTCATTGTTCTAGAACATGCTGGGCTATTGAGCCATGCCTGACAATCAGATAAACCAAGGCTAGTCACGTAGCTAGTGCCCCTAGGATTCTAAATTCCTCTTGTTCCCTGAATCACCCCTATGTACCCTGGAACACTCCCTATTGTTGAAAGAGACCTTCTATCTCAAAAAAAGAGAGAGAGAGAAATCGCCAATGTTAGAAATTTGGGCAAAACCTCTTGTCTGCAAAAAACAGTTCTACAGTTGCATCATCTTGCCACAACTACATAGTTAGCAGCCTTATGTTCCCAGGAGCTGTTCTCCCTGGATCGCAGTGGACCTTCTCCATGACCTCAGCACCCTTGGAGGAACAGGAAGGCTAAGGATGGCTGCCTACAGTTAACACAAAAGAAACTTGGCTCACAGATAAAAACCAATGCTCAAAAACTTCCTTTAAAAAATAAAACAGGGCCCTCCCTGGTGGTGCAGCGGGTTAAAGCACAGCACTGGGAAGCTTAAGCCACTTCCGCATGAGTTCAATCCCTGCTTGACCCGGAGGTGACCCACATGGCGAGGCAGACCTCTCCTGACCCGCCCGCTGCTCCCCTCAGCAGTGCACTTTGTCCATCTGCCTGTTCTGCTCCCCACTCTGTCTCTGGTGAATCCTCTCATCCTCCGCATCTCTGGCCTGTACCCCAGTTCTGTATGCATAAATAAATAAATCTTTAAAAAATAAAATAAAATAAAATAAAACAGATCATCAATCTTCCAAATAAACACTTCAAATCAGCAGCAATTCCAACAATTTAAATATTACTTAAAACATACATGTTTTACAGAGATCTTCCTACTGGAAATTTACAGTAAAATTAGTCCAGGCAGTAGCTGTGAGGCTGATGGAGGAGTCATTTCTCGAGCTGCGGGTTGGACTGAGTGGGGCTGCAGGATCTGCGGTCTTCAAGACTTGAGATTTTTCCTGCAGGTATTTCACACTTAACTGGACCCACTTTTCTTTGGGGTTGGCACAGATCTCCTTGGCCAGTTTGGTTGTGAAGCTGTAGATGGAAGAGAATGGCAGGCACTGTTAGAGGGAACTGTCTGAAACTTTTACCCAAGAGATGACTCACTGGACTCTAAAGCCAGCTTGTCCCATCTGGAGTCTAGGCAGAAGTTTCCCTGGGACAGGAGAAAGGAGGGGTGTGGAGGAAGGGGTGAGTGTGGATTATCATCTCTGCTTTTGTTTCTACTGGAGAAGGGGGCCTGGCTTCTGCTCAAGCAACAGGAGGTGAGAGCTGACACTCATCCAGGAAACAGGGCAGGGCATCTTGTCTGCTCTGGGGAGGGCTTAAGATGTAGCAAAGGGAGAATTTGGATTCTGGGCCCTCCCTGGTGGTACAACAGATTAAAGCACAGCCCAGCGAAACTGGCTGCAGCCACTTCAGCATGAGTTCGATCCCAGTCAGGGAGGTGACCCACATGGCGTGGCAGACCTCTCCTGATTCATCCGCTGCTCCCCTCAGCAGTGTATTTTGCTGATCTGCCTGTTCTGTTCCCCTCTCTGTCTCTGGTGAATCCTCTCACTGCCCCTCACCTCTGACCTGTACCCCAGTCCTGTAAGCGTAAATAAATAAATAAATTTAGAATTTGGATTCCATTGTCCATTGAATCTTATCCTCAGAGTTTTAGATCTTAGAAGGATATAATGTTCTTCCTTGGGGCAGAACTGAGAATTGGCGGGGGGGGGGGGGGGAGGAGAGTCCAGCAATTGGATAGAGCTATGTACACAAACAACATTTTTCTACCTACATGACAGCATCCTGGGAGCACTGCATGCTGGTGAATCGATAGCTCCTCAGTTTCTGCAAGGGGATCTTCTTACTGTGGAATGAGAAGCAGCACGTAGGCAAGCTTCTGGCGCCTTCTGAAAATAAAGTCGCAGAGGAAAGACCTGTGAGAAGGTGCCAGCATTTTCTCCACTTGAAGACAGTGGAGGGTCTGGAGGGGGGAAGGAGAGGTAGAGAGGATCTGACCCACTCCAGGTCCTGTGACCCTGCCTCAGGACCCAGGTGGGACCTGCTGCCTGGACTAACAGTCTGAGGTCACCTCCCTCAGCCCGGAATGGACATGGTCATGAGTGGTCAGGGAGGCCTTGTGGCAGCGCCTGACATGGCTCCTGACCTGCAGAGTTCGGGACTATCAGATGGATAAAGAAAAGGTTCTGGGTTTGGAGTGGGCAGCTTAGCTTAGGTTTTATTATGGCTCTGCTATGTGGAGAGGACTTCTGTTTCGTAACTGGCTTGCAGTTTTCTCTTTTAAAAATTAGATTTTAAAATGAAATGCTAGGACCTTTGCTCTGAGAGGTTCAGAAGTGAGACAGTTCAGCAGCCAACATGCTCTAGGAGCAAAGCACAGAGAGAAAGAGACTGGGCTTACCTGGCTGGGCCAACATTTGGGTGTTGAGGGCAGCAGACATGAGCAGCAGGCACAGGAGAGTTGCAGGGCCCTTCATGCTGGAGGGTGAGGATGGCAGCTGCAGCCCGAGCTCGTTGGATGCTGGGTTATCTTAGCCCCTCAGCTGCTGTGGCTGTGCCTCTGCCTGTTTTTATAGACAGCATCAAGGGTGGGAGCACCCAGGCGATCTTTGCCTGGACAGGGTCATGGTCATGTCATGGTAAAGGAGATGTCAGCATCTGTGGAACTGGCGACTGAGTTTTCCAGGAAATGCAAGAGGGAAGCTGTGGTGGTGGCAGGATAGGCGTTGTTTCCTCCCAGCTGCCCAGAGCACAGCGGAAGGAGTCCAGATGTGCTAGCCAGCACCCCCCAACCCCCCATGGAAGTGACCCTGGGGCCTGAGGCTAGTCTCTGCCTTGCTTTCTCCAAAACAGCTCCAGGGAAGAGCCCTGTGCTCAGGGCTTGCAGGTGTCCAGTGTGGGCCTGCAAGGCCTGTGATTTATCATCATGTCCTGCTTGATGAGGACACCAAGCTGCAGAGATGTTGCATGGGAAGCAAGTGGTGACATTGGAAGAGAAGTCATTTACATATAAACACTGGGGTGGTTTCAGACTTTCACTTAACTGCAGTCAAGTTTTCTAAATCAGGGTTTATGTGGAAATCTTCTCCTTGAGACAAAGATGGCTTCCAACACCAGGGGCTCCTCATATGACTGCCGGTGTCCCTCTCAGACCCAGAGGGGTATGAACAACACTGCCTTGTCCAGGATCCTGGCCTCCAGGACCACTGGGCTTCTTGAGCCACTGTGGAGAGAAGGTGGGGAGCATTGCAATGACACATCCCAGTGCTCCTGGTCTGGCTCCTTCCTGCAGGGTGTGTTCCTGAGTTAGAGGTGGGGAGGGCTCAAAGAAGCAGACAATGTGGGATTCCCTATGCTCACTCTTGATTTCCCAGCTTTGCTTATTTTTGACATCTTCCTGGAATAGTCTTCATGCTAGATGCTTTCTAAGCTAGCAAAACAAGCCCAGCAAGAGTAAAAGAAAGGAAATAAAGAGCCAAGAGTAGTGAAATAGAAAGAATACATATGAGCAATGATGGCTGAAAATCAATGCTGGTTTTTTTGACAAGTTTAATGAAGCTACAACTGTCCTGAGACCAAACATGAAAAAAGAAAAATATCTCACCCACCGGGACATCACTGGATTCTGAGCCTGCAGACTCAGAAGAAAAGAATTTATGCTTGTCATTTCATTAAGGTGAATTCCATGAATTCCTGAAAAATATAACACCTTGCAAAAAAAAGTGGGGGGAAAAAAAGGTCTTTTTAAATGTATTCAAGGAATTGAACCAGTCATGGGACATCCTGTGGGCTGAGAAATTGTCTTGCTACTTCCTCAAGCCTTCTAAGAACCATTCATTCTGCTCTTACATAATCTTTTCCAAATAATATCAAAACAGTGGGCACGCCATCTCATTATAACAACCTTGCATGACTTGAGTACAAAAATGCATCAAGAATCACATGAGAAAAAAAGAGAGAGCAAACTTATCCCTCTGAAATCATATCCCACTTTTCCATCCTCCTCTCTGGTCGGGAAGCCCACCATGGGACTCACAGCAAGGGGTCTGATGGATCTGGACTGTGGAGTGATAGGGGCACCAGAGCCCAAGTACGGGTGAGGGGTTTCCTTCCTTGCTGTCTCCACGATACTCAGATGGATGCAACTACATCCAGGGCCTCTCACTTCTCTCCAGGTGGCCTTCTTCCTGGCTCTTGCCATCCATATCTGCAAATTGTTCTGTGTCCTTTCCTCTTCAGACCCAGAGGTGGTCATCATGCTGGTATCAGCCCCTGAGAGGGTAGTTTCTCCACACCTGGCCCACACCTTGGTAAATAGCCTCTTTATTAGACCCTCCTCAAATAACTGAATCCAAGTGTCATCTCTTTGTTTCCGGCACTCTGACTTGTGGTGCTTACAAGTTCTGAATTTGGACTACCCATCCTCCCTGGAAGCACAGGAAAGGAGCTTCCAGCATTGTGAAGGCTGAAGTTATCCCAGGATGCAATGGCCAAGTGTTTATTATCCAGCCTCCAGGTGGTTCTGATGTGCACTAGAGATTCAGGACCACATTTGGAAATTACATCATAGCCCATGACCATTTCTCGTTCACAGTAAGGAGCTACCAGAGTGTTTGTACGGATGCTACCCTTCTCTGACCTCAGCAAAGCTAGTGTGAACACCTGTATGCAGGAAGTGTGTCCCAGTCTCCCAGAAGTGATCCAGGGGTCGCTGAGCAGTTTGCACAGCTTCTAGATCCATTTTCAAAGATCTTCCCTGAGCCTTTGCCCTTTCCATAATGTCTCAGGGAAGTTCTCTCCTTTCAACTTCATTAACTGCTGACTCCTTTTCTAAGCCTAGAAATAATCAATCAAGCTAACTGAACATTAACATCACTGCCAGAAACTCATACAACCACTCACAGTGAATGAATGTATCTGATTGGGACCTGTACACCCCCTTGGCATTCACCCCCACACATGGGTCCCCTACTTTCTTCCAAATGCAGTATGAGGCAAGGACCTCACACCTTCCCAACTCTAAGGATTCCTGCCTTTCCTTCCATGGACGCCAGGGCCTAACGTCTCAGGGTGTGCTCAGATCTCTGGGATCTGCAGTCAGCCCCTCTTTGAGCCTCAAAGAGGAACAGGTCGCTGCTATGATCATGGTGATGTTATGAGATTCTGATCATGCCTGGAAAGTGCTCAGCTCACTGTCAGTCACTTCCACTTCATGAAACCCAGGTGACAATGATGCTGCCTGTGGGGGGGGCACACTGGGGACTAGGGGCTGCTTGGAGAACTGGGTTGGGGTCTCAGTGGGAGGAGTGGCATCTGGGGTGGCAGTGGCAGGGCAGTGGGGCTTATTAGGCAGCAGAGGCAAGGTGGGCACAATACCCCAAGAAGCCCCAGGTTAGGAGGGGTGATCAGAGTATTTTGCCCATTGGGATCTTCAGGGGAAAGAGGACAAAGATGACAGACCCCAGCATGGAATGCATGGACAGCTTGCTTACTAGGGTGCTATCTGACCCTGGGCAGGGGGGTCTAGTTTCCATGATGAGAAGTGGAGTCTGCCTCTCTTTTGGAGATTCATGACCTTGTACCTTTTTTTTTTTTTTTAAGATTTATTTGTTTATGCAGACAGAACTGGGGTACAGGCCAGAGATACAAGGACAGTGAGAGGATTCACCAGAGACAGAGTGGGGAGCAGAACAGGCAAACAGACCAAGTACACTGCTGAGGGGAGCAGTGGGCAGGTCAGGAGAGGTCTGCGGCGCCATGTGGTCACCTCCCGGGCTGGGGGGGATCAAACTCATGCGGAAGTGGCTTAAGCTTCTTAGCGCTGTGTTTAACCTGCTGCACCACCAGGGAGGGCCCATAAATCTTTTTTAAAATAAAAATAAAACTCAAACGGCTCAGGGCTGGGGACCCTGTACTAACTAGGCTTCTCCTTGTCCATCCCACATCTCTCCTTTAGGCTCCCAGGAACACTGAGATGGCAACACCTTTCGTGGCAAAGCAGATCACACTGCCTCCCTGGCTGAGGCAAAGGAGACGGAGCCAGCACAGCTGGTGAACTTGCAGAGGAAGAGAGCCCTGCCCTTGTGACCTGACGGAAGTCCATCCACCAGCCCTGCAGCACGGCAAGCAAGCGCTTGCCTTCCTGCTTGCCTTCCTCACCCCTCCATCTCGCCTCGCCTAGCTCTCTGTGACCCTAACGTCCCATTCTCCTGCTGCTCTTTTCCCATCCGTTCCAAACAAAAATCTCTGGAGGCTTGGCTGCAATGGGGTCTCGCCCATGAAGACTTATCACCCTTCACAGGTTTCACAGGGGACCAAACCCTTCTCTGAGTGGAAGGCTAACGACCGTCCACGGTGAGTCCTGCTTCAGGGCATTGGGAGACTTGCTGGCAGTACACACAGTCCATGTGGAATACTGAGGGGTGGTTAGAAGTCTAAGACCACTGAGAGACAATTAGCGTATAACCTGCCTTCCAGGTGCTAACTCTAGCTGCTGTTTCCCTTTGTCTTTGGGAAAGTTCTAAGATGAATGTCTGGGACGGTTCCTTCCCACAGCTAAACAGAATATAGCGGCAGGAAAGAGTTTGTATTGGAAACACACTGGAATCGAGAGTGAACTCAGAAAAGTTTCTATGTTGGAGCAATCATTTGATAAAAACATTTTTTGGCTTTGGGAAACAGCTCTCCGGACCGCGTGACTTGGTGTGTTCAGTCAGCTTAGCCGTAAGGTATTCCACTTACTTTGTATTGATAAAAATATTTTAAAATAATGTTTTTAAAGATGTATTTAATTTTTTAAAAGATTTATTTATTTATGCTTACCGAATTGGGGTACAGGCTAAAGGTGTGGTGGATGAGAGGATTCACCAGAGACAGAGTGGGGAGCAGAACAGGCAGATGTACTGAACTACACTGCTGAGGAGAGCAGTGAGTGGGTCAGGAGAGGTCTGCCGCGCCATGTGGGTCAGCTCCCTGGCCAGGGATTGAACTTGTGCTGCAGTGGCTTCAGAGAGCTTCATAGTAAATTGTTTTAATCTGTTAGGGGGCCACCAGGGGGAGCCCTAAAGATGTTTTTATTAATTCATACAGAATGGGGTACAGGCCAGAGTTGCAGGAGCAATGAGAGGATTCACCAGAGACAGAGTCGGGAGCAGAACAGGCAGATCAAGGGAAGTACACTGCTGAGGGGAGCAGCGGGTGAGACAGGAGAAGTCTCCTGCACCATGTGGTTCAGCTCTGGGGCGGGGATAGAACTCATACTGAAGAGGCTGTGGCTAGCTTGCAGTACTGAGCCCTAACCTGTTGAGCCACTAGGGAGGACCTAAAAATAATTTTTTAGTAATACAACTGGCTTAGTTTTCCTGGAACATACTAAAAAGGTTAAAAATGTTCTGAAATCATTTGTATGCTCAGCATTACGACATAACCACAAAAAATAAAATTTCTTGGTCTTCTTTTTCTTTTCACGTGAACATTTTAGGAATTTCATTCGGTGTAAATTTGTCTCAATTTGTCAATGTGTATCAAAAACCTTGCCAAAAGCCACTATGTATCCATCAATACTTTAGTTTCTTAATGGCTGGATAGTTACCTGCTTTATGAAAACACCACCATTTACCTAGACCCTTTTGAGTTATTGGGCACTTAGTGTATTGACTTTGATGCCAAGGAAGGCTGAGCACACAGTGCAGAAAATGACAAATCTTTACCAGTATTGGTTTACTTTGTAGCCACGAAAGCTGGATCAATAGCATGCACACTTCAAACTATTAAAACATTTTCAAATTTATTGTTGGATTCTATATTGCACATACAAAAAATCGATAGGATGGCTTGACTACATTTTAGCCTGTGTATACAGAAGTTAGCCATCGCTGACATCCAACTGACGTCTGCAGCACCCTGAAAGTTCCTTGTGTCCTTTCCAGTCAGTGCTCCATTGCCTCGAGGCATCATTACGTTGGCTTCTGTCACCTCGGTATGCATTCTTTGAAGTCTTGTGCTTAGTCTCTTTTTTTTTTTTTTCTGGAAAAGATGTTTTTATGCCTATGTGGTGGGAGAGGTACAGCCTTTCGTGCTGCCACCTTTCCCACACCAGTCAGGACCTGGCTCAGCAACTCCCTTCCTCTTGGTGGACAGTGCATCTCCACGCTCTCTTCCTGGCCCTTGGAGGCCTTGACAACACTATCTCCACACTCAGAGGGGGAGAAGCTGCACCCCTCCCAGTCATTTCCTGTGGGACCTTGGTGCACGTGGCAAGGCTCCCAGCAGCTGCTGTGCCTCACTGCGCATGCCCTTAGCACCCCGCTGTGGGGTAGTACAGAGCCCTGGCTGCCACTCC